TTGTCTACTATAACTTCAATGCGTTGCAGTGACAGCCAGCATATAGCATGGACCATCAGTTGCCTACAAGATGCAGGAGTACACATGCTCACAGCTGGCTTATGAGACCAGGAGAAACTGTCCTCATACCTCTAAGTGGCTCCTTTGTTATTTATTTGAGTCCTTCCTATGGAGTTAATGATAGGACTGAAACACTAATGTTCTAACATGGAGTCTCTGGTAATGTCAGAGGTTGCTGCTTTGTCCTCAGCCTGGTGTGGCATTCTAGGACAAGCACTGGACAGCTTACCACAAGCAGATTGGCAATTCAAACTCACCAGCTGCTCCTCAGAAGCCCTATACAGGGTCATTATGAGTTGTAACTGACTCAACAGCACTTAACAACAGTGAAACTAATGTAAAGGTATGCAGTATGAAAGAAAAAAAAGCCTGTTAAGATCACAGCAAAACAAACCCTATGGTGTACAGTTCTACTCTGTAACACATAGGATCCCTATGAGTTGAAGTCAACTTGATGGCAATGTTGTTGTTGTTGTTAGGTGCCATCGACTTGGTACCGACCCATAGCGACTTTATGCACAGCAGAACAAAACACTGGCCGATCCTGGGCCAACCTCACTATGGTTGCCACGCTTGAGTCCATCGATGCTGCTACTTGGCCAATCCATCTTGTTGGGGTTCTTCCACTTTTTCTCTGCCCCTCCTCCTTCTCCAGCGACTGCTCCCTCCTGACAATATGACCAAAGTATGAGAGACGAAGTTTGGCCATCTTGGCCTCTAATTGATGACAATAGGAGGTTTGATTTTTATTTGATGACCTCAGAGGACCCTTAGAAGACCAGAGACCTGAAGAATCTCATTAAAAAAAAAAAAACATAAAGAAAATAAACCAAATTATGAATAGTCCTTTAACTTTGGTGGTGGGGTTATAGAGACTTCCACGTTGTTTGCCTTTCTTGTGGTGGTGATGTACCGTGGAGTCGGTTCCGACTCATAGTAACCCTGCAGAGGATTTCCGAGACTGTAAATCTTCATGGGAGCAGAAAGCCTCATCTTTCTCTTCGTGGGAACAGCTGATAGCTTTGAACTACTGACCGTGAGATTAGCAGCCTGAGCACCTTACTTGTACCATCAATAAAATAAAGATGATCCAAAGTTTTTTGTTTCAATAGAAAAACTAGAACCCAGTAAGAGTAACGTATTAAGTGAGTTGCTGACAGCGCAACTTCTAATGTTTCTATTGCTTTTCAGTGACAGCCCTTCCTCGCCATGGCCCGAAAACACACATGTTCCCTTCATCTTTCACCTGAGGAAGCTGGAGTCTCAGAGAAGTTAGTGAGCTGCAGCTGACCATAGGACCATGAGACCCTCACTCATCCCCTGCCAGGATGCTTTCAACCCCAAGGCTAGAAGAGCCTGTTCTTTGGAGAACTCTCAGCCCTGAGTGTCTTGAGGTTCTGAGTGTTCCCATATCTCACTCTGGACTGCACCCTGCCCCATGGGGACATGAAGGTAGCCCCTGAAGGTGAAGAATTGAAGTGAGTACATCTGACCCTGTGGGAAGAGCTCTGCTTCGAGACACCATACCTGTACATACCTGTTCATACCTGTACACACCTGTGCATACCTGCACACACCTATGGGGAGGTAGGAAGAGCCTTAAAGGCAAAGCAAGCCTCTAATCTTACAAAGTGCCCTAGGAAACAAGCCATAGGGGCCAGGAATGGTGGTCTTCCAGCTTCTATGTTTACATCTTTCTGAAACCCTATACAGGGTCACTATGAATCGGAACTGAGTCGACAGCACATAATAACAACAACATGTTTGTGTGTGTAGCAGGAAAATATTTTACAATATTACCTGGTGAAGTTTTATTCTTCAAGATTTATTTTTTCCATTCCAACATTTCCATCATTAAAAACTACACCCTGAAACTGAGTCCTCCTGCCACAGGAAAAGCAGAATCTCAAAGAATTCAAGCAGAATGATGAATCGTATCTGTGGTTCTGCCTTCCAGAATGATGTGGAGTTTAATTACAAGGACCAGGGTCTAGAGGGAAGTGGTTGTCTAATAGTTAAAATTGTTATTGTTGTTGTTGTTGAGACCGTGGAGTCGGTTCCAACTCATAGTGACCCTACACAGGGTTTCCCTTTATAGGAGCAGAAAGCCTCATCTTTCTCCCACGGAACAGCTGGTAGTTTCGAACTGCCAACCTTGAAGTTAGCAGCCCGATTTGTAACCGCTACGCTACCAGAGCTCCAGAGTTAAAAATGACTAGGCAATTATTGTGGTAAACAATGTTTTTAGAACTTTACCTGGATTCTCTGTTTTAACTGCATCATTGAGCCCTGGTGTGGTGCTGTTGGATAAGTACTGGACTACTGCTAACTGCAAGGTTGGCAGTTCCAACCCACCAGCCTCTCTTGGAAATCCTATAAAGAGTCCCTATGAGTCAGAATCGACTTGATGACACACAACAACTACAATCATTATTCCAGTCCTCCAGAAGATAAGCACTAGACTGCAAACCACAGGTCTGCAGTTCAAGCCTGCCTGCCACTCCATGGGAGAAAGACAAAACTTTCTGCTTCTGCAAAGATTTAAAGCCTCAGAAACCCTATATAGGATTGCTATGAATTGGAAATGACTCAGTGGCACTTAACAACAACATACAAATGAGGGATCCCTGGTGGTATAATGGTAAAGCATTTGCCTGTTGTTAACCTAAAGGTTGGTAATTCAAACCCAATCTGGAAGGACGAAGAGCTGGAGACCTCCTTCCATCAAGATTACATCCTAGATACTGCTCTGAAAGGGATCGTATTAGAAGTCCTGAATAAAGTGGAAGAAAAATGTGCAACAAAACTCAAAATCATGACCAGACTTGCTGGTTTGATTACGATATGCACAGAACTGCTAACTGTAAGGTTGGTAATTCAAACCCACTGAGAGAAAGATAAGGCTGTCTGTCCTTAAAATGATTTATAGCCTCAGAAACCCTATTCAGGGTTCTGTGAGTCAGAATGGACTCAGTAGTAGGGGGTTTGGGTTTGGTGGATGGAACCACCGAGACTATGGCCCTTGTTGTTGTTAAGTGCTGTGAGTTGGTTCCAACCCATAGTCACCCTGTATAGGGTTTCCAAGAATCAGCTGGTGAGCTTGAATGGCTGACCTTGCAGTTCAAACCAACTTTGCAATTGAACGCATTAACCCACAGCGCCACTCCAGGTCCTTAGATTCCTTCAAGCCTGGAACTGAACTCACCCCTGTGGCTGACAGACCTAGAAGGTGAACAGTCACATCAGGGAGGTCCACATTCATTAGAACAATAAACTGTATGAGATCAAGACAGTAGCCTTTGCCCAGGGACCAAGCTCAGAAGGCAGGCCTTCTGAAAGAAGGGTGATGGGAAATGGTAAACACAGGGGTGATGTTACATTGTGAGGATTGTAATCAATGTCACAAAATAAAATACATATAAATTATTGAATGGAAATCAATTTGCCCTGTAAACTTTCTTCCAATTTAAAAAACTGAAGCTGGAGAGATTACAGTCCAGGAAGCCCACTGAAGCAGTTCTACTCTGTCACATCGAACCATTAAGAGTCTAAATCAACTCAACAGCATTGAACAGTAATAACAACAGACAAGGAAGGTGAGGACCAGAGAGATGAAGTAACTTGTCAAAGGTCACACAGGTAGGAAATGGTAGAACCAGGATCTGAGTCCAGCTCCTGGTGTGTCCTTGTAGGATAAGCATAAGACCTCAACAGTTGGTTTGAACCACAAGGTCGGTGGTTCAAACTCACCAGTCACTCTTTGGAAACCCTATGCAGGGTAACTATGAGTAAGAAGCAACATGATAGTACTTAACAATAGCAACATTTGGCTTTAGTGGAGTCCTGATGTGGCACTGTAGGATAAGCACTGGACTGCTAACCATAAGGTCAGAGGTTTAAATGCACCAACTGCTCCTTGGAAACTCTATGGAAGGTTGCTATGAGTTGGAACCAACTCGACTTAACAACAACAACAACAACATTCGGGTCCAGAGATCAGACCTAATCACTCCACATACTGTCTTATAAATAGTGCATTGTGCTCAGGAAAAGAACACAGCTGAGAACAAGACAGTCAAGGCCTCCTTGAAGGAACTCACTGGTTGAGTCTTCTGCCACTGGGACTTCTGAGACCTACCTCTTTAGAGCCTTATCACATTCTTGCAAAACAGGAAATTGCAGAGTTCCCACTTACTGATGAGGGAAAAAAAGGAATTGGCACATGGAATTGGAAGCTTAGAAGTCTCAAAACACTCTAATGTCTCTCTCTGCCCAGGGAGAGCTCTCTAGTCAGCTACCTGCCAGACAGTGGTAATATCCAGGCAACAAAACCAAACTTCTCTTGGGTTGAATCTTCAGAGCCCAAGAACAGTGGGGCCAAACAACGGTGTTTGGTGAAAAGAGGGAGCCTAGATGGAAAGCAATTTTCCTCTGAGATTTCAGCGGATGCTTTGGAGTCCTAGATGCTGTTCCCCAGGCCCAGGGATCTGAACAGGGCTGGGTCTGTGGATGAGGGCGTTTGACACTGCTTGAGACAGACACACAGATGTGGGTAATCAGGAGAGGGGGCTTACGCAAGGGATGAATCTTCTAAGTAGAACATTTTTGAAAATTGGTCAAGAGAAGAATGTTGGGACTATAACAACCAAAAAAAAAAAGAGGAATAGGAGGAAGGAGAAGAATGTCATCATGGTGGTGGTGGTTATGTGCCATGGAGTCAGAACTGACTCATAGCGACCCTGTGCAGGGTTTCTGAGGCTGTAAATCTTTACAGGAGCAGAAAGCCTCATCTTTCTCCCGTAGATCAGCTGGTAGTTTCGAACTGCTGACCTTGAGGTTTGCAGCCCGATTCGTAACCGCTACGCTACCAGATCTCCTTGAATGTCACCATAGTGACATTAGGTAAAAGTCTTCTGTTGAGCTCTCACCAGAGTTGTGGGTCAAGACTGGACCTTAAACATTCTTTGCTTCCTTCTCTTTGGTTTTTTGTTCTCTGAACAGATTATTCCACAGAACGAAGAACAGCATTCAAGTCCTTCTGGACAATCTTTACTATGTATACAGATTCGGTCACAGCTTTCGGGTGCAGATTTGCAGGGTGGAGGATCCAAGATGTACTCTGGAACACAAAAGAGGTAAAATAAAGGCCCAGCAACAGCTGTAGATGGGACATTTAAATTCCTAACACCCAGGAAGCTGCTACCTTGTCCCCATGACCTCGCTGGTATGGTCACAAGGAAGTGGAATTTTGTCTACTTCTTTCTTTTCTGAGCAGGGAAACCACGACATATTTGACCCCACACAGAGTTGGGCTGATTCTACATCCATTAGCCATCCATTGTCCCTGTGGGTCAGATGCCTAGGCCCTGGTCAGACCTGTTCGGGGAGTGGGAGATGAGATTAACAAGAGAGGGATTTATACATAGATTCTGAATGAACTTAGTATGTGGTGTTAAGCAACTTGTGCTGCCTCTCACTAATAGTACTTTCCTCCTTAGGGTTATCCTAAGTGGGTTAGTTCTGTATAGGAAGAATGAGTGGAAGAGAGGTTTAGGAAAAGATACTGAATCTGGGATCAAAGAGCTAGAACTGAACTCACAAGTGAATTCTGAGAATGAACTCACTTGGGAATTCAGTTTGTTTCATGGTTGAGAAAGATAGAAATTTGAGGTACACAGTTTTTCATGGGAGCCTGTCAGTTATCTAGCGCTGTTATAATAGAAATACAAACCGGAATATATTTCCTCACATTTTAGGAAGCTGAAAATCCAAATTCTGAGTCTCTACTCTAGGCGAAGTCTCTCTGTACAGGCTCTAAGGGAAAGGTTTTTGTCTCTTCAGTTTGTTTCCTGGTTCTTTAAAAATCTCCATGTATCTTGACAGCTATTTTGCCCCATCTCTGGTAACATAGTGGTAACAAATCAGGCTGCTAACCTCAAGGTCAGCAGTTTGAAACTACCAGCTGTTCTGTGGGAGAAAAATGAGGCTTTCTGCTCCCGTAAAGCTGTACAGCCTCGGAAACCCTGTGCAGGGTCACTATGAGTGGGAACCAACGCCACAGTACTTAACAACAACAGCTTGCTTAATCTGTTATTTTTATCTCATGTAAAAGATTAATTCAAAGCACATCCTATACTAACCCTACCTCATTAGCATAACGGAAACAATGAATTCCCAAATAGGATAATAATCAAAGGCATCAAAGTTAGGATTCACCACACATTGGAGGCGGAGGAGGGGAGAAGGGACACAAATCTACTATTATGGAAGAATAAGCATCTTCATTCCTTCTTCATCACTCCCAAGTATTCCAGATCAAAGCCAAACCCCACTTCCTGCCCAACTAGCCACAGGCTCCTCTACATTCCCTAAGCTCTAAGCTATTGAGGATGGGCTCCATCAGTTCCCCTCCCCAAGCTCTGCCAGACCCTGAGTTTTGTACCCTGTGACTTAATCTTTCCAGGGGCAAGTGTAATAGGTATGGGTATTCTGTAAACCCCTGTTGATTTGTTGCTCTGCTGGTATTTGCAGTTGAAAGGGAATCTGTAGAGTGATATTCTGATCTGAAACGAATGAAAAGGAATGATATTGGAGCTATAATTGCAACAGCAAATGGCCCCAGTAAAAGGACAAAAAGAGCTGAGGCTCAAGCTATAAACTGACAATTTGGCAGAGACCAATAACCCAGCACTCACCCTAGGTTTCTAATGCACCTCGGAGCTTACTGGGGCAGTGCACACAATTGAAACTGGCACCCACTCTGAAGCGCTCAGGGCTCAGTGGAGCAGTGTGGGGAAGGAGGCCATGAACCAGAGATCTCAGAGAGGTCTACTTTCTCAAGTTTTACACCCTATCCTGGGCATCTGGTCCCAGTCCTGCTCAGAGCACTTTCAGAATATCTGCTGTGGCTCTCCTTTGACTCTCTACTTTACCCTCCAGTTCCCATATTCCCCTCATCCTTCCCACAACCCATGAACTACCATGTGTGACCTTCTATGCGCCTCCAATATTCTAAAAGATGCTTCCCCCTCCCCCAAAGAAGGGTGTGTGTTTAATGAATGCAAGTTCATCTCCCAACAGCATTTTGACCCAGTGGTCTTGAGTTGAGCTTCACAGTGAGTGGTGGCTGCTGAGAGGGAATCTACTCAGATCTATTGATGCAAATCCTACTAATTGTCTCGATATTTTTTAACTTGGGGAGGGGAATGGCAAGATTTCCGTCATCTCCCTCTCATAATACCTTCCAAAGCCAAGATTATATTAGATTCTACCAATTTAATTTTCCTCTGTGCTTTTATGCTTGGAAAGGTGGCTCAAACAATCATAAGGGACCCTGAAGACAAAGCTGTATGACAAGGTTGATGACATTTACAAGACAATACTATTGAGTAGTTATCATGGTTCAGTAAGAGCACTCTGTCTCTATGTGAGTACTTCAGTTTCTCCTTCCAGCTAGCCCAAGGTCATCATTTCCACTGGAAAGATGAAAATTTGAGCTTTCTGCTCTTTCCCTCAGTAAGCAACATGACAAGGATACAAATACTGACAATAAAGTATGGACCTTTCAACATGACACAACCTTTCTTTACAGGGGTTCCCTTGGGTTCCATCCTCTCAACAGATGCTGCTCCCCTCCCCTGGACCCAGAGCCAACACCTACTCTTATGATGTCTCTTGGTTTTCCCAGCTACTGACTGCAGTACTAGGCAGGACAATAGCAGGAGCTGGAGAAACACAGACTTCATGGTGCTACCGAACAGATGTGAAGTCCTGGCTGGCCTGGAACTGCTGGGTTTGATCAGGCACTGCTGGCAGAAGGGAAGGAAGAAGGAAGGTGGAGCTGTTTAAGCTGTAACTGGCCTTTCACTATATCTTTTCATCAACAAGTGCCTGGAGTAAGATAAGCACCTCCTAACTGCGTTCACTCCAGGGCCAAGTTGTCCTCTCCCCCCTGCCTCCAGATCCAAAATCATTCCATTCTCTAAGCTCCTACCCTTCCAATTACAGAAAGGAGTTTTATTCCCTTTTGTTATCCTGATGCAAATAATGCAACACAGAGACAAAGTGGTTGGAAGTAACAGCATTACCTTTTTTTTTTTTTTTTTTTAAGTTTAAGGTTTTTATTGTGGATTGAGTGAAAGTTTACAAGGCATATCATCAGTTTT